GGCAATATGTGGTTGTCATGATCTGACGACGACAAAAGCCGCAGTCGATTAGCATCCTCATTCGTCTCTGTTTCGTTTGCATTTTCATCAGTCGAAAGTTTCTTGCGATAGGTTGGGGACTTTAGGGCCCATGCCATTTCCTGTGATGGGCGATACGGTCGCTGATGTCCCTGGTTCGGGTTCTTGGGAGGCATTCCTCGAAGTCGTCTGTCCATTTCCCTCGACCTTTTTACTGCACGATTTCTTTTTTCCTCCTGTTTTTTCGTTTCTCCTCTGGTTGTGGTCCTGTATTTCAAGTGTTCGTGCTGGGGTTGCCATGACAGCTGCGGAAGGTGTTGATGGCGTGTCTTTTGTGCGACGCCCTTTGGCCCTACTTTATTTATTCTTCCAACAGGTATATTCGTATTGTCAAATGTGTCTAACCTACATTGTAGAAGAGTGTTTATCTTTTCAATCTCTCCCTCAAGGCGATTGGTTTTGCTGGCCAACATGTGGCATCCGCTGCAAAATCGATCAGTATGCGGTACGCATGTACTATCAAGTTAACTTTGCGACATTGCCCGCCGACGTGCTGCGGTTAGCGTGCGCGACTGAGATGTTGGTGGTCGGTGAATCGACCCCGTCATGGAAGGTGGTTTGTCGGAGGGCAGCGCACATCTCCGTTATGCATTGGACTTATGAGAAACGGAAGAATATGCGAGGATAACATGTTTTTTCCTAAGGCACAATTGTATACAGGGTCTATGCTCATGCTGAGTACGCCGAAAATATCCTGGGAACGTTTTTTCAAGTAAACCTATGTTTGGTAAAGTGACAGTTGTCTGAATTTGAGCAGCGCAGCAAACAGGGTAGAAATATCGACTCAGCCTTTTTTTAGATGTTGCTCAAACTTCACTGAGCAGTTGAAGACGATATGTTGGATGGGTTGGCCCTGTAGACAAGCCGAGATTTTCGACAGAAAGACCTTTTTTGATAAAGTTTGCTCTGATCGAACGATAAGAGTATCGATGAAGCTAGCTGAAGGATCGTAGTCAGAAACGCGTTTTATAATCCACATTTTGATGAAGGACAGTCGTTTTCAGCGAAGAAACTCGACTGAAAACTTCACGCAACTTAAAATTCAAACCACGCGCGTGAAAGACTCCTCACTTGTAGTCGTCTCGAGCGGCTGGTTTCACGAAGGCGTCTGCGTTAGATGTGTAGCTACCGTCGTTCTTAGCACTAATGGCTGGTTCCACTGAAACGGCATATTTTTCCGAACTACCTTCCCCTTGAAAATAGCCAGGTTGTTTTCGCCACTCTTCAGTCTCGATTGTAACTCCAAGACAAGTTCCCGACGTTTCGGCCGTTCGCTGATGAATACTTCGGTTGAAAAAACCTGTCTGCTTGTTTCTGAGGTCGGTTTTTTGGAGAGGTTCAACTTGATTTACTCTTTGTTCTCCAGCATAACTTTGAGAGGATGAGGTGGTAGTGCTGCTGTCCTGTCTTCACTCCGTTTCCGTATCAGGAATGTTTTTCGGACCTTTACTTCCATGTCTGCTAGGAGTAATTGGCTTAGTAGACCATGAAAAGAGGCAAGATCCTCCGAGATACCGCCTTCAGGTCTGACTGAATTCTATTCAGACAAGCCCTGAATAACCAGACACTGTTGACGGTCACGATCCTCCTAATTTTGTCTTTCCGGTGAATTCTCTGCATGTGGGCGAGAACGATTTACGGAGTAGTTGTTCGGACACACACCTCTGCTGGTAACTGACTGTCCCGAGCAACCCATCAGAGCTGGTTGTGACTTCAGACTCCTGTTATGACGTCCCCTCAGCCCACCTACCAATGAGTTCCTTTTTCGCACTGACATGTGTGCTCTGTAGCTCACTCGGAGTGGTTGCGAGAACAGGAGGGCAAAAGTAGACTGACTGACCTAGTTATATTGTCTTTTGGTAAAAGAGAAATCCAGTTACTTGCAGTAAGAGGAGTAGGCGAGATGGCTCCCGCGATAGGTAATAATTTGGCAACATCGCTTAGGTCGTCTTGTGTGGAAATCCAGTCTGTTTTTATCGGCGACTACGTTATCGTTGTCCTGCTGTTACCGGTACCCATGTCTGTACTTACTGAGTTTGAACCCATGTTTGGAGATGCTGCCGGGACGATATTTTTCGCGCTTATTGCCTTCTGCTCTTCGCTCTTCTCGGATTGTACCATTGACAACCTTCTTGTCATCAAGGTTCTGTTTCACGGGTGTCCTTAGTCAGTAAGCTCGTTTTCAAGCTGTCTTACTTTGATTTGGATATGTGTGCACCCATCACAAGGCTCGTCGTCGTACCTCACAATTTTTGCGGTAAATACGTTTTTGGCACGCTTTCCTGGTCGCTGACTGGAAGCGCAGATAAAGCGGGAAAAGATTCTGGATGCGAAGGACACCTCACCACATTTATCTTCTGACGAGGTGCCGGCACTGGCCGTACTATTCCAGTTAGATTGCTGAGGCTCTATAAACTTCGACATTATAGAATAGTTGTAATTTCGCTTTCGAGGTTATAACAAATACGTCGGTTTGTGTAGGGCGAATTGAAGTGAGTACTCAAGATTCACTGAGCGAAAAAATACTTAAAATCTGATAAATCATGTGGAGTTAGATCAGAAACGACTCAGCCGCTCGCGGATCTCGTAGGACTTTAATAACTTCAGACATTAAAAAATTTTCAGCGACTGTTTTCCTAGGTAGTAAATAACCGCGAGTTGGCTGCGTAATCAGTGGCACCATGCTGATAAACAAATTGTACTTGACACAGTCTCCTGACGAATTTTGACGCATGAAAAAATATTCCAGAAAGGCACAATGTAATTTGATACGTACGCTTCCCTCGTAAATGTTAGAGACGGTAACTGTGAAATGACAACCAAATCGAAATAGGCTCGTTTGGAGCGCAGAATAATTCCGTCGCGCTCAGTCGGGCTCAGTTGATTGTCGCCTTTTGCCTGCCATGATGTACCCCCTGGGGTACTTAATAAAACAATGTATTTATTATTATATTACCTCCACATACAGCTCGATTTCATCGATCAAAACAGCAAAATATTTCTGTTAGGCAAAACCAGAAGCTGCGCAATTCATGCTGGGCTTCAGATGGTACTTTACGTTCCTTCAAGAAATGCGTTAAATGATACTGCAGCAGACCGAAGTGAGGCTGGTTTGTCCATAAAGGTTTACGAAGATCTTGCTGCCTTTAAATAGTGGTGCGATCCGAGCAGATATTCAATAGCCGGTCAAGCTGCTAGCAAGTTTGCCAGCAGGTGCCTTCTTTAAATTTGTTTACATATCATCCAGACCTGGCGATTTTTGCTCATCCAGCGTCAAGACTCTTTACGAAAAGCCGTTTTGGTGACCAATAGAGTTTCAGTCATCCAGTCTTTCTCTAAATCGCAGTCAGAAGACACAAATTCGGTTTCCCTCGCAAATATTTACTCAGGAAATGGCGAAATGCGGTCTGTTTTACTGCCAGCACGATTGATTTATTTGCCAAAACTAGTCTTCAGCAGGAGCATGAAATCTCTGTTGCGCGTGGTACGTCTTATATGACCGTAAAACAACTCTGGATTAAAAAATGCACAGTTCACCTACCCAACTTCGGACTTATCCCATGTCCCAAGTGGGAGTCATTAGACGAGCTTAAACTGCGCTTTTTATGCATTTAGGCGCGCGGGGCCACTCTCAGTGACAAAAATCATCACCAGCCTTGGTTTTCGCTCGCTCTTCCTTTCAAAGCGAGCGGTATCCACTAGGGACTATCGTTCAGCCTTGCTCCGCAATCGGGCAGCTTTTCGAAAAAAACATGTACAATAACGAAATCAGCCATTCCAAATTCCTGCCTGACTGCCGGAGAAACTGATTCCCAGTTTATGATGTTTGATTCCGTCATAATTTAATCGAGATAACCACGTAAAATACCGCTTCTAACTCTGGCTGCCTAGTCCCGGCGCCGTAGGACATGGTCAATTTAACCGAAAGGACACAGATAGGGCGCTTCTTTAATGCTGGCCAGCGTTTTCGCAAACGTCAGCTCCAGACACACACCTTACACACCCTCGAAAGAATCAAGATGTACTGAGTGATAAATAACCTTTAAAAGAATTTATGGTCCTTAATATTATAGTTTTGCCATGATGCGGATTCCCGAGCGCACGTTGTCGGTCAAATCCATGCAGATTCACTTCGGTATACACTAGGTGTACAGTGAGGCGTCCGATAAAGCGGGTACCCGCACCTGCCTGGCAAGGTGGAGGCGAAAATGGATCGACTTCGAGTTCTGTCATCGCGCATCTAGTCGACATGAATCAGTAAGTCGACGTCAAAGAGGCCTTTTAGATTATCTACTCAGCCCCAACAAACTATTCTAAAGGCCTCTCCTAACGCGTGCTAGTAGGTGACGAGATAGTGGTTAACGAATTCAGTTCTTTGTAATCAGAAGGCTATGGTAAAGCCGTGCGTCTTTCGTTGAAAAACCGCAGATGACGTTCGCACGCCGTCCCAACTTCCTAATAGTAGTCACGATTGCTCCGCGTGTTTGACACACAGATACCGCACACCCTTCCTTCCACAACCCACTTCTCGGTCCCCAGTGACGACAACACACCGGCTACGTCGCGCGGGTGGCGTAAGGAAGGATGTAATTAACATCCTAAGGTGCGTTCAGACCCTAATTATGACTTACGTATTTACCCTTCGTGCAGCTGTAGTGTCTTGAAGCTGAAATGACGAAAATATTTTTGTCCCGTGACGATTCAAAAATAGTACTTCCCCTATTATCTTTAGATTTTTCTCTGTTGCATTTATCTGGCTTTATCACCTGTTAGCTTAGCAGCTTGCTATTTTGTCGATTACGATCCTCTTCATTTAAATTTTCAGTCCGACCTTCCATCGGTTTTGCGAAATATACTGGCTACTGGATAAACATTGGCCTTTGATACCCTGATTAGCCTATGAACCTCTCAAACTTTGGCAAATGGTTACGAGGCCAATATCCCACCGGGGTGATGCGAGGTTTACTGCAAGCCTGTATTGCGGAGGCAAGGTGCCTTATAAATGCTTTTTTCAGACAACCCCCGCTTGGTACGCCTGCTTCTTAGTAATTTGTCCCAGATTTAAGCGTCCTGCATACTGAGAAATCCTTTGCCCCTGCTCTCAACGACATTTTCGATCGTTTTATCTTGTTTGCCGTACCCAAGAAGCGTCACTCGATCGAGCGACGGCGGCACCGAAAATTCTTATCATGTAAGTCTCCAAATGGTATTTAATGTGTGTAGTTACAATGGACAAGATTAGGCTTCGGCAGGATTTGGTTGCCTGCCAACATTGTGGTACCTGGCATCCACGTTCGTCGCTATGCGGTACGTCTCAAACCGTTTTCGGAACTCACGCGGTAAAATTTTTGTCTACGTCTTGAAGTTTCCTTATAGTACTTGTGCATGCGTGGCTGTTGACAATCTCTCGTCAGAGCCGACTTATAGGGTTTGTGGTTGAATTTTAATGCCTGCAGGTTTCGTGCGCTTAAGGGTCGGAGTGGCGTCTAGAAGCAGATATACCAATTTTTATCTTTTTGTCAGCGGCAGGATATCTCCATTGTTCCCTGAAACTTGTGTTTTATCAAAGACCCAGACAATTAATCCCAGAGTATACTTGTGCTGCTAACTGCGATGTTGACACTAAAATTACTACAGGAGATTAGTGAGAAAACCGATACATTCGACAATGTATAACTTGTGCACGAATTGGTTTATAGTAAAGCAGACATGCGCAGAGACTGTATATCTCTCTATCCTTCCCGTGTTCCAATACTAAGCGAAATCGTGACTCGTGAAGGTGCGCTGCTGACAAGGTTAGACAGCTCTTTTACGCGTGCCACAAACGGCGTGGTCCTAAACTCCATATGAACCAGATTTCGAAGCAAGGACGGGATCTCGGGCATTATTTAAATGGGGTTGCCATAAAGATCAAATTGAGAATGAGCCATTCCAGCCTGGTCTTCTGTTCCGAGTAGGTATCTGGTCACTTGGCAATGTTTCAGGGCACAACTGTTGGTGTATCCCACTATACTTAGTAACGAAACGAAATGCTAGATCCAGACTGGTTAACTCCATTGTCTACTCTTTCCTTTTTTCTGGTTAAGTCGACTCCAAATAGGACTTACTGCCATGGTTAACGCGGTTTAAAGGTGACACCCAACACCTACTACACACGAACCCGCATTCTGCACATACGGGGGTGCTATAAGGGCCACAGTCTGCCCATGATCGAATAGTTTTTGAATCCCACACATTCGCCTCAAGCCCGGACTTTGAGGTAGTCGAAATGCTGCCCGAGGCTTTTGTCTTAGTGTCCGCTGGATAACGAGAGGCTTGGGGGACAGAATGTTTTGTCTATTTCAGATTCCTTACTACGAACTGTGCATTGTCAACAGAAAATAAACTGTCGCTTGTAAGTTGTACGCAACATGTTCTTCCAGATCTTGGGTGTGCTGCGAGGTTAAGCAGAGGATATATATCCGCTCGATGACTGCGGTCTTCGCACTCAGCCGGCCTCAGAAAGGCCAAGATGTTCGGCAACTGGCGCTTGTAACGACGCCCTCTTCTATTCACGAACTATGCTTCGAATATTTAACTGTATCCCCTATTGGGGAGACTTGTTTACGTCTCGGTAAAGGGCCGCCGCCTCATGTGATTCGGCTACGCACCCGACCGACCCGGGGGGAGGAGGAGCTCATTCTCGACTCTCAAAACACCTGTCCAAGTTGGTACCGCCGCTGTAATGATTAATTACTCAAGTGGCTCGATATGTTTAAGCCCGAGTTGGGGAAAACATCAGGCCTGACTATCTTCAATGCATAACGATTCAATTGTATAACGATCGTTGGACATCTAGTTAGGAATATTGGGACACGGACCGCACTTGTCTGCAATGTGGTGCACTCTGTTGCCCACTATTCTGATACTAATGCTAGCTGTTATGAGTGCAAGTACTCAAGGGTACGCAGCTCGGCCCTAGTAACGCATGCAAAGGTCCTGTTCTAGTTCCATAGAGTTTGCCCACAGAAACCTAGTTTTCCATGCTCTATGACTTAGAAAAATCGTTAATAGGTTGACGTAAGGCACTTTTATTACTTTACATAGTGACTTTTTAAAAGGGTGTGGTACGCGTTCCTTGCAAACTCAAGATTGATCGGCAAAATATAGGAATGTAACTTGAAAAAGAAGAATCCACCCGCAAAATTTTGCTCAGACAACTGAATCACTCGGCACAGCAAAAATAAGTGCAAAAACATTCAGCACCGACTGTCCGAATCCGCATTAAATCTGATACCTCAGAGACATGTACTACGTTAAGGAGACTTAAACGTTGTGGTAGAATAGGGCAAGTTTACAAAAAAGAAGCATTTGTGTAGTTGCAGAAATTCCTACCCGGTACGTCTCGTGCGCAATCCTGTTGCAAATTCGCTCTACTTTCAGCTGTCGCTCTGTCTTTAAGTAAAGATCGAAAGGATGTTCAATCTAGCTTTCTAGCTGAATACTTTCGTGGATTCCATTGCGTTGCTGCTTGGTAAATGCCTTAACTACAACTGCCCCTGTACTGGTCGCTGATATTCGTTGGATGACATTAAGATTGAATTTGTCCCTCCTCCTCCTCCTCCTCCTCCTCCTCCTCCTCCCCCCTTCATCTTCTTTTTACTATCATCTTCCCCAGTGCAGTGTTACGACGAAGTAAGACGTGAGACGAATGCACTGAGGGACAGCTTACAAGCTTCGAAGTTGGCGGGTCTCTCTCGCACTCAGCCAACTGAATTTGTTTACGACCGCGAACTTCCCAAACGTCCGAATGCTTTGCACCATTATGTGGATAGGAAACGGCCGCAGTGGTTTGGCACCGAACTTTTGGGAGGCAAGCATGACAAAGACGACTCGTAGACCTCCACTTTTGTTTTAGGAATGCCCACTGTCCTTATTGTGTAAAATAAACCCTTTGCTGATAGCTTTCGGTGTCACTTTTACTTACTTTTCAACAGCGGTTTTAACAATAGTAGAATTGAAGCGTCTTTTCAGGAAATTGAAATGAAAATCGTAAAATTGGCAAGTTTGG